AACAGCTCTTTCCCTTTTTCCCTAGGGTATCCTTCAGGTAAAGTTCTAAGAGGCCTGTTGGTACTTAGCCAAGGAGTTTATATCTTTTATTAGATCTGCTGTTTCCTTGTCTAATACAAGATCATTAGTAAGAAAGGCCCGTCCATAAAGCATCTCATAAGAGCTGAGTCCTATTTTCTGAGGAGAGTGTCGAACCCTTAAGCGTGCCATTGGTGATAGAGAAGGCCATGAGAGGTGGGCTTCCTGTGCCAGTTTCTTTAGGTGTCTCTTAAGAATTTCATTCATCTTTTCTATTTTGCCTGAGGACTGAGGCCTCCAAGCGCAGTGGAGATGATCCTGTATTGCTAACACCCTGGCATGTCCTTGGGTGACTGCAGCTTTAAAGGCAGGGCCATTATTGCTTTGAAGACAGCGAGGGAGTCTGAACCTAGGGATCAATTAGAACTTTTATTACCTCTTGGGCTTTCTCTGTTCTACAGGGGAAAGCCTCAACCCCGTTTGTATGAGTATCCACACATACTAGCAGATATTGATGTCCCCGAGACTTAGGCCTATGGACAAAGTCCATCTGCCGGTCCTCACCTGGGTAATGACCGGCTCGCTGTTCCCCTGGAGGAGCTTTGCGATGTGCTGAAGGATGATTTTTCTGGCAAACTTCACATCCTTTGACTATTTGTTGGACAGCCTTAAAGAGACCCTTTTCTGTAAATATAGATTTGGCCATCCGACGTGTATTCTCTAAACCCATATGGAAGGTTTGATGCAGAGTTTTAAGTACTTCCCACTGGCTGGCAGCACGTAGGAGCACTTTTCCTTCCTCAGTAGCTAGCCATCCTGAAGGAAGAAGATTGTGTCCCTGGGAGATTGCCCACTCTACCTCTTCTGAGGAGTATTGACGTCTAGTTCCCTGCAGCGGGTTTTCCCATATTAAAAGTCCTTCTAGGAATTCTCATCTAGCTGCCCTCTTTGCCTCTAGGTGAGCTCGGGAATGGCCCTCGACTGCTTTCTCATTTCCCTTCCGGTGACCCCCGCAGTGTAAGACGGCTACCTCTTTTGGTTCTTGGACAGCTTGTGGTAGTCTAAACTTTCCTTGTGATATTCAATGGGAGTTCCTGCCGAGGTTAGGAGCTGCCTTTCCTTCCATACGGCAGCATGAGCACGCAGAACCAGGTAAGCATATTTGGAATCGGTGTATACGTTTAAACTCTTTGCTTTTCCTAATTTTAGAGCTTGAGTGAGGGCTACCAGTTCTGCCAGCTGGGCACGGGTCCCAGGAGGAGGGAAGTGCGTTCAAGCACTGTTGGATCGCTGACTACTGCATATCCGGCTTTTCGAACTCCATTTTCCATAAAGGAACTTCTGTCAGTGTGTAGGTTAAGGTCAGGATTGGCTAGAGGAGTATCTGATATCCTCTCGAGCCGCATAGTTCTGAGCTATAACCTGCTGACAGCCATGTTCTGTCTGCTCCTTCCTCAGAAGAAAAGTAGCTGGGTTGAGGGCTGCACATGCCTGGCTCACGGCAGAGGCATGCACACAGGCAGAGGCCTTGCTAAGTCCCAGGACGGTCCCCCTTAGCTGCATGGGCGTAATGAGCAGATCTGCCTCTTCTGCAGGGTGGGGCCTCCCCAGCACCCCACACAGCACAGGCTGGAGCTTGAGCCACAGAGGTAAAGTCAGGAACCCTCCCCTGCTCTCGTCCCTCCCACTGTGTCCCTGCTCCCAGCACCTCTGGCCCATCTTCTTTCTTTCTTTCGAGACAGAGTCTTGCTTTGTCGCTAGGCACCAGGCTGGAGTGCAGTGGCGCGATTTCGGCTCCCTGCAACCTCCGCCTCCCGGGTTCAAGCAATTCTCCTGCCTCAGCCTCCCAAGTAGCTGGGACTACAGGCACGCGCCACCACGCCCAGCTAATTTTTGTATTTGTTTAGTAGAGATGAGGTTTCAACATGTTGGCCAGGATGGCCTCGATCGTCTCGATTTCTTGATCTCGTGATCTGCCTGCCTCGGCCTTCCAAAGTGCTGGGATTACAGGTATGAGCTACCACGTCCAGCCTTCCCTTCCTCCCTTCCTCCCTTCCTTCCCTCCCTCCCTCCCTCCCTCCTTCCCTCCCTCCCTCCTTCCTTCCTTCCTTCCTTCTTTTTTTTGAGATAGAGTCTTCTTGCTTTGTCACCCAGGCTGGAGTACAGTGGCGTGATCTCAGCTCACTGCAACTTCCTCCTCCCAGGTTCAAGCAATTCTCCTGTCTCAGCCCCCTGAGTAACTGGGATTACAGGTACACACCACCATACATGGCTAATTTTTGTATTTTTAGTAGAGACAGGGTTTCACTATGTTGGCCAGGCTGGTCTCAAACTCCTGACCTCAAGGGATCTGCTCACCTCAGCCTCCCAAAGTGCTGGAATTACACACGTGAGCCATTGCACCCGGCCTTGGCCTCTCTTCTTCAAGCTGGCTTCTGAGTACATCCCTCCTCTGCTCCAAAGCCTCCCTGGGCACCTTGTTACCCTCAATAGAAACTGTAAATGCCTTCACCTGGACTCAAGGCCCTTTTGGGTCCCTCCTGAGCTGATTTCTCCCTCCCTTCTCCCTTGTCTCAGGTCCCTTGCCTCCTCTCCATTCTCCTTCCAGCTTTTTCTTCTGCTGTTCCCTCTCCCCAGAATGCCTTTCTTGCAACACCCTGCAAGTTACATCTATCTTTGATTAATAAAAATGAGGAAGGCCAAGCATGGTGGCTCATGCGTTTGCTTGATTGATTGATTAATCCCAACACTAGGATGGTGAGGCGGAAGGAGTTGGAGACCACTCATCCCTATGAGAAACCAAAGATGGGGGCAGTTATCTCATGAATTTGGGTCAGTAACAGCTTTTCCTATAAATAGTCTTAGCTACCGTCAGTGGGTTTTTTCCCTTATTTCCATATGAATTTCAGGCTTCAAGAGTGTGCTACAAAGAACATTATTTCTTGCCACAGAGAACATTATGAAGGTGCAGGCAGTGGCTCTAAGGGATTGGTGGTGTCAAACCTCTCTCGGGTGACAGACTGTCCTGGTTGCCTGGGACTAAGGGGTTTCCTGAAAAATAGGAGTTTCAATTCTAAAACCAGGATAGGCCCAGAAAACTGGGACAGTTGGTCATCTTAACTCTTCCCCACGCTGCTCAGGCCAGAAGCTCATTCCTAGGAAGCATTAACCCAAGCCCAGTGAGAGGTTAACAGCTGACTGGCATGGGTTTTAATTCTGACTCTGGCACTAATTTGCTGTGTAACTTTGGGTAGGCCACTTAACCTCTCTGAGTTTTGGTCTAAAAGCTGGCAGGTTGAATATATTTGGATAAGGTATGCAAGCACCTGGCCTGGAACCTGACACAAATAGGCCTCCAATGAAGAGTCACTTGAAGGTAGGCGTAGTGGCATGCTCCTCCACTATTGGGGGGAGGCTGAGGCAGGAGGATCGCTTGAGCCCAGGAGTTTGAGACCAGCCTGGACAACATAGTGAGATCCTGTCTCAAAAAAAAAAAAAAAAAAGTCACCTGACTGTGGTTTCTGCTATCCAGGCCTGGATGCTAGCTCCTAGCTAAAAGTGTGAAAGTCCAGTGCCCCAGGACTTTCCCTCCCGCTGGGGATAATGAATCAGGCAGGTCGTTAGAGCTGGGCGTGTCCACACCCTAGTCAGTCACACCCAGCCTGCACTGGCTTCTCCTCGGCCATCTTCCCCTCTGGATATGAATCCCTAGGAGGGATTGGTCAACTTGTTTTTTGTTGGGGTGGGTTTTTGTTTTGTTTTGTAGAGACAGGATTTCCACATCTAGCCCAGGCTGGGCTCACTCGATCCACCCACCCCAACCTCCCAAAGTGCTGGGATATTATAGGCAGGCACTAATAACAAGTTGGCTAGCTTGTGAACTGCTGTATGCTCAGAGCAGCTCAGGGCTGGGGGCGCACAACAGGGATTTGCTGGATATCAATTTTTTTGTTTTTGATTAATTGAATGGAATCTCATGGTGGAACAGGAAGACCCAGAGTTTGTCGGGGGGACAGAGTACAGGCAGGTGTGGGAGGCGGCCTGGGGTGGGGGAGGTAGAAGTGGGAGGCACAGGTAGAGACGAGGTGAGGTAGGCTAGGTGCCAGGGACCAGCAGGGTTGGAGGGGGAGGGTGGAGGAGGGGAGAGGCAGGCGCTGGAGTTGGGAAGGGTTTGGGGTCCCTGGGAGATGGTTTGAGTCCCTGATCTGATACGTCCTGTGACATGACCTCCAGCAAATCCCTTCCCCTGTCTGAATGTCAGTTCCCAAATCTGTAAAATGGGATGGTAATTATGACAACCTCAGTTACTGTGAGGATTAATGAAGTCTGTGCAAGAAGCCCTTAGCATGGGCCCAGGGCCTCTCTCTCTCTTTCTCTCTCTCTCTCTCTCTCTCTCTCTCTCTTATGATCTGGCCACACCCTCTACCCACCCAGCCCCCTGCTCTAGTCCTACCTGTGTGATCTTGTGAAGTGACTGTCCCCTTTCTCGTCTCTAGCATGAGACAATAACAGTCCCTAGGTCGCCGAGTTTTGGTGAAGATGAGTTGAAATAATACCCTCAGCCTAGTGCTGGGCACACAGTCAGAGTGAGTGGCTGTTGTACTCCTTAGGATGATCACACACAGACATGCACACACGCACATGCATACACACATGCACACACACGTGTGCCCACACACGTGAACACACACACATGCTTGCCCATACACACGCATACATACACATGTGCACACACACATACACACATGCACACACGCACATGCGTGTTCACACATACATACACACATGCAAACATGCTTTTCCAGGCTTTGGTAGCTCCTGGGAGTCCCTGAACGACACAGGACTATAGCACATAGCAAATACACATCAAATCCCTGTCAGCCCACTGGGCTTTTTGCCCACAGACTCACCCAGGCACCACCGTGCTCTCTTGGGGGCCCCCCACCCCAACCCCTACCCCAAGTCACCATCACTGAGACTGATTAACAAAAACACATCAAATTCCTTTACTTCTGAGGTCTCCCCTTTAAGGGGAGGCAGAAATAGAACATTCTTTTTCGGGGAGGGAAAGGGGTTTAATAAAAACCGGTATAATTAGTTAAATACTGATCTCGGTTAGGCCCTCTCTGCGTGTGGGCCCAGTCTTGGATGGCTGCATCCTCCAGGGAGCCCCCCTCACCTCGGGGTCCGAGGTGGCACCAGGAGGGGGCTGGAGGTGGCCAGCACCAGCGGCTTCCTGCTCAGCTCCCTGAGGCAGGCCGGCCGCTGGGCGGTGGGACGTCACCACCGCAGGAAATCGCGAATGAACTTCCAGAGCTTGGTGACCCACAGGTTGACGCCGAGGTCCATCAGGTACTGGATCTCGGGCGTGAGCATGCGCCGGCAGAGCTGCGCGTGGCGCTGCCCGATGCTCTTCTTGAGGTTGTAACCCAGGATGGACTTGGTGCCCAGCGGCTGCCAGGGCTGCATGGCGTCGTCCTGGATGGCGGCGGCATCCACGGCGTGGCCCCCGTCGATGCAGATGGTCCGCATGCGCTCGTTGGCATGGCGCAGGGCGGCCACCTCGCGGGCCATGCGTTCCCGCCCGAAGGCCTCCACCTTGCGCCAGAAGCTGGCGTTGAAGTGGCGGTAGAGGTGGGCGTCCAGCATGTTCCAGGCGGTGGCGCGCCCATACAGCTCCCCGGAGAGCCGCGGCACCGGCGAGTCGCGGCGCGCGTTGAGCTTGAAGTAGAGCACGTCCTCCAGCTCCCAGCACAGCAGGTCCTTCAGCAGCACCAGCGACTCGTCGAAGTACTCCTGCAGCAGCACCAGGTGGAAGCGGCGCTCCACCTCCAGGATGTGCTCCTGCACCTGCGGGCTGCCGGGGTCCAGGCCGCTGTCGTAGCCCAGGTCGAAGAAGAGTAGGTTTCGGAGGTAGTGGGCATTGAAGCCGTTGGGGTCATAGTAGCGATCGGGGTCTTGCAGGAACTCGGCCAGCTTGTCAGCGCCCGAGAGCTTCCACGTGAGGGGCACCACCGGCCCGAAGTAGTGGAAGGAGGACTCGAACAGGCGGGCGGGGTCGCGGAGCACCGTGATGAAGGTGGCGTTGGGCGGCACCAGGCCGCGCACCTCGTCGTAGTGGAAGCGCATGTGGTTGCAGATGATGTTGAAGCAGGCCCCGGGCCGGTAGTCCTGCACCAGGCTGCGGGCGAAGAAGGTCGGGTAGTCGAAATCGTTGCGGCCGTTCGGGAAGGCGAACTTGAGCCTGTGCTTCTGGCCGAAGCGGAAGAGGATGTTGAGGAGGGTGCTGCTGGCCGTCTTGTGCGTCTTCAAGAACACGATGTTGCGCCGCGGCTGGCACTCTCCCGCCGAGCTGTTGGCTCGGGTCACTGCCTCTGGCTCAACCAGGGGTGGAGAGCAGGATGCTGCAGCCTCTGGGGTCCTGCTGGGGACAGAGAGGTGGGGAGAGCCTCAGGGGCGTGCTGGGGCCCTCAGGACTCTGGTAGCTAGAGAGGGAGATTGTTGGGGACAGACAAAGGAGCTAGGACAGTGGGACCTGTGGGGCCTGAGTCCAGGCTGGGTGCCTGGATGGGTGATTTGGCCTCTCTGGCCTCAGTTCCTCCTCTGTGAAATGGGGACAATAACAGGCTCTATTCACGGTGCTGTGAGATGACGCACACAGCTCTCGTCTCATTCATGGCCACTGTGTTGTTTGTGTCATTCAGTTTGGGCCACAGGAAATTACCATATTTTTTTTCTTTTTCTTTTTTTTTTTTTGTTTTTTTTGAGACAGAGTCTTACTCTGTGGCAAGGAGCCAGGCTGGATAGTGCGATTCGGCTCACTGCAACCTCTGCCTCCCCGGTTCAAGCAATTCTGCCTCAGTCTCCCGAGTAGCTGGGATTACAGACGCACACCACCACACCCAGCTAATTTTTGTATTTTAGTGGAGACAGGGTTTCACTATGTTGGCCAGGATGGTCTCAATCTCTTGACCTCATGAGCCACCCGCCTTGGCCTCCCAAAGTGCTGGGATTACAGGTGTGAGCCACCGCCCCCGGCAAGAAATTGCCATTTTATAGGACAAAAATGGTCAGTTTTTGTAGAACTTTGCAGCTTTATTTCAACTTAATATCACCAACCACTGGTATTATACCAGCTACCGGCTGTGTAGGGTCTGTGCAGAGCAGCCCCATGAGGAAGCGGGAGAGTCTGGTTCTCAGGAGCTGGGCCTGGAGTCAGACAGACCCCAGTTTGAATCCATGCCCGTGGACAGGTCGCCCCACTGTGGCCCCACTGTAGTCTCAGATGATGCTACTCCAAGCCCTGTACACAGACAGTGCTACCTGATTCTCATGCCCCATGAGGAAGGCTCTGTTTTTTTATTTGTTTGTCTTGTTTTGTTTTTTTGAACAGAGTCTCACTCTTGCCCAGGCTGGAGGGCAGTGGCGCAATCTTGGCTCACTGCAACCTCTGCCCCCCGGGTCCAAGCGATTTTCCTGCCCCAGCCTCCCGAGTAGCTGGGATTACAGACACACACCACCACACCCAGCAAATTTTTGTATTTTTAGTAGAGACGTGGTTTCATCATGTTGGCTAGGCTGGTCTCGAACTCCTGACCTCAGGTGATTTGCCAACCGCGGCCTCCCAAAGTGCTAGGATTACAGGTGTGAGCCACCACATATAGCCGAAAGGCTCTGTTATTATTCCCACTTCACAGATGGGCACACCAAGGCTCAGGGTTACATGGTGAGTTCTGCCATCAGTGGAATTTCTGTTTGGCAAAGCATAGTGCAGGTGCAGAGCCCAAGATCACAGGGGCAGGCCCTGTGGTAATTATGGGGTCCCATGGGTGGGGCGCCATCCCTCCCCCCCATACCCGTCATCTGCCCAGCTGGAGCACTCACGTGGAGGCCAGGCTGGCATGCAGTGGGGGCACCACATAGGAGTACAGCAGCAGCAGGAAACTGGTGAAGAGCGCCCCCAGCACCAGCCCCTTAGCCATGGACTCCCAGTGCTTCTTCTGCGGTGGCGGCATCTCAGGTACCTGCGGAGGCAGCAACAGTGGGCAACTGTCAGGAAGTTGGCCCCAGGGCTCACCCAAGACTGCCCACACCTGGCAGCCAAGACCTGCCTTTGCCTGCTCTATGGCCCCCCAGCAGGGTCCAGACAGGGACAGAGAGATGCTGAAGAGACTGAGAGGCAACCACCTGGAAAGAGACAGCCCCAGGGCTGCAGAGACAGTGGGCGAAGCACCTCAAACAGAGGTTGGGGAATGGGGCAGGGAGAAGCTTAACATTTAACAATTAAAAAGAACCAGGTAGCAGAACCAGGATCCCAAACTTTCCACTCCTTTTAATTTTTAAGCTGGCTGATAATAAAAGAAAAAGAAGAAAAATAAGGTAACAAATATTTGTTACCTTATTTTTTAGTTATCTTGTCTTCGATTCTTTTTCTTTTCTTTTTTATAAAAATATGTATTTTTGAAAATTCTTCGATTTTACTTTAAATTCTCCCAGATCCTGAAATTATCTTATTGTTTATACCTTTTAGGTCATCATAATGAAATAATTCTCTTTTTTATATTTTAATTTTTTTTTTGAGACAGAGTCTTGCTCTGTCACCATGCGCCAGGCTGGAGTGCAGTGGCGCGATCTCGGCTCACTGCAACCTCCGCCTCCCAGGTTCAAGTAATTCTCCTGCCTCAGCCTCCCGAGTAGCTGGGACTAAAGGTGCACGCCACCACAACCAAATAATTTTTTTGTATTTTTAGTAGAGACAGGGTTTCACCATGTTGGCCAGGATGGTCTCGATCTCTTGACCTCGTGATCCGCCCGCCTTGGCCTCCCAAAGTGCTGGGATTACAGTCATGAGCCACCGTGCCTGGCTATTTTAATTTTTGAAAAAATAGAGACACAGTTTTGCCACATTGCCCAGGCTGTTCTTGAACTCCTAGGTTCAAGCAATCCACCTGCCTCAGCCTCCCAAAGTGCTGGGATGACAGACATGAGCCATCGCACTATACCATGAAACACGTTTCTAAGGAAAAAGGCTGGGCACAGTGGCTCATGCCTGTCATCCCAGCACTTTGAAAGGATGAGGCAGGTCGAGTGCTTGACCCAGGAGTTCAAGACCAGCCTACACATACGGCGAGACCCTCTCTACAAAAAAATTTATTACTATTTTTTTTAATTCACCAGGTGTGGTGGCACGTGCCTGTAGCCCTAGTTATTTGGAAGGCTGAAGCAGGAGGATTGCTTGAGCCTGAGTTCCAGTGAGCCATGATTGTGCCGTGGCACTCCAGGTCTGGATGACACAGTTAGACCCTGTCTCAAATAAATAAATAAGAAGGAAAAGAAGACTGTCTCCCAGTGCCCTGTGCTCCCCCAGGCCTGAGCCAGAGCTGTCTACAGGGAAGGCCAAGGGCTCTCCGGGCCTGAATCCTTCACTTTTCAGAAGCCTCAGCCAGCTGTACCTGTCCCATGCTCCACCAGCCCCACAGTGGTGAGGGTGACCTGCCCAGTAAGAGACCAGGGCTGTTCTCTCTTCACTGGCCCTTGTGCCCCCAGAGTCTGTAGGGGTGGCTGATCGAGAAACTGAGGCTCACAGCTGGGAAGAGGCGGGCCCAGGTTACACAGCTGGCCAGGCCTCTGCCTACACACCCACCCACTTTCCAATCACCAGCTGGTAGGGTTGCCCAGTTAAATTTGAATTTCAGATAAACAAGGAATACAATTCTTTACGGTATAAGTATATTCCAAATATTACATGGGACATAGTTATACTAAAAATTATTCAAGGCTGGGCACTGTGGCTCATGCTGGTAATCCCAGCACTTCAGGAAGCCGAGGCAGGTGGGTCACCTGAGGTCGGAAGTTAGAGACAAACCTGACCAACATGGTGAAACCCTATCTCTACTAAAGATACAAAAATTAGCTGGGCATGGTGGTGTCCTATAGTCCCAGCTACGTGGGATGCTGAGACAGAAGAATTGCTTGAACCCAGGAGGTGGAGGTTGCAGTGAGCCAAGATCATGCCACTGCACTCAAGGTTGGGTGAGTGAGACTACATCGCAAAACAAAAAAAAAATATTCAAACTTGAAGTTTAACCAGATGTCCTGGAGGTTGGATTATTGTTCTTTCTTTGTTTTATTTTTTATTTTAAAAATATTTATATTATTTTTGAGCTGCCCAGGCTGGTCTTGAACTTCTGGGCTCAAGCAATCCTCCCACCTTGGCCTCCCAAAGTGCTGGGATTACAGGCATGAGACACCGTGCCCGGCCTGTTGTTGTTATTTGTCTGGGGGAGATGATCTAAGCATGGCAACCCTATCAGCAGGGGAGTGAGATGTGGGCTGTGATGGGGAGTTCAGGCTGAGGAGCTGGAGTCCTGGAGAGAGCTGTAGCTTGGGGAGCCTTCCCGCCTCCCCTTAGTTGCAAAGCCAGGGCCCCAAACTTTCCACTCTTGGCCCGAACTTTCCACTCCTGTTCTGGCTCATACTGCACTGTGTCCTGGGCCCCTGAAGCCAGTAAAAGTCACATGGGCTAATGACTACATGCACGGCATTATCACCACTGTCCCTGGAGGCAGAAGCCAGTCAGCCCACCTGGGGGAGGGTCACACATGTATTCCCTGGAAAAGTTACGCTGAGGTGGGAGGATCGCTGGAGCCTGGGGGGGCAGAGGTTGGCAGAGGTTACTGTGAGCCAAGGTCATGCCACTGCACTTCAGCCTGGGCAACTAGAGTCAGGCCCCATCTCAAAAAAAAAGGCAATAATTGTTAACACATAAACAAATGTGTTAACACATTTGTTATTTAACACATGAAGAAGCTTGCAAAGTGGGATAAACCCACCAGCCATGGAGGGGCCCCAGCACCAGCCATAGGCTCTGGGACCCTGAGCCTGTGTTTCGATCCAGCATTGTGGTTTCAGACAAGCCAAGAACCCTCATGGAGTCTCAGTTTCTCATCTGTAAAATGGGAAAGCTGGTCACGCCCCTAGCTGTACTCTGGAGCTAAGCAAAGCAACCAGCACATAGTAATCACTTAGTGGTACCCCTCCTGAGGCCCGGGGTTGGGGGTGGGGCGCCCGCAAAGCACAAACCTACCACAGCCTCAAGCAGCCCTTCAGCCTCCCACTCCCCAGGGGCCCAGCAGAGAACAGGGCAGAGTTGTGGGCCAGATCACAGTCCAAACTCCGGGGCCCAGTTTCTCTGACTTTAAGATGAGGAGGGATTAGGATTCCTGTGGCTGGCCCTCTGGAAATCTAAAGGACCCACCCTGCCCCGGCAGCCCCACTCACCAGGGTACCTTCCGGAATCTGGGAAGCAGCAATAGTGGAGACGCTGAGGTTCAGGCCCTGCAGCAGGGGGCAGACCAACCTCTCTGCCTGCCAATCAGGCTCCACCTGGCCCCACCCAGGACAGTTTCTCCACCCCCCACCCCATTATTGTTTCACTCATTCACTCACTCTTTCCTTTCCCCCTTTTTTTTTTTTTTTTTTTTTTTTTTAGATGGAGTCTCCCCTATGTTGCCCAGTCTGGAGTGTAGTGGTGCGATCTCTACTCACTGCTGCAAACTCTGCCTCCTGGGTTCAACTGATTCTCCTGCCTCAGCCTCCTGAATAACTGGGACTATATGTGCCCACCACCACACCTGACTAACTTTTGTATTAGTAGAGACAGGGTTTCACCATGTTGGCCAGGCTGGTCTCAAACTCCTGACTTCAAGCGATCCACCTGCCTCAGCCTCCCAAAGTGTTGGGATTACAGGCGTGAGCCACTAAATCCAGCCCTCATTTGATGTTTCTCAAACCTTGCCAGGACCCCACCACATGTGCTGGGTGCTGCCAGCTGCTGAGGCTTGGGCTATCCCTCCTAGGTTTTCTTTTGAGCCCCTGTTAGAAGCCAGGCCCAGGGAAGGGGCCTGCCACTCCAGATCATCTAACTGACCCTTCTCAGCTGCTACTTAGTGGATATCACTCCACCCCCCACCCCGCTGTCACCCCCATTTTGGTAGATGGGAAAGGTGAGGTTCCAGGAGTTGACAAAGCTTGCCCAGGGTCATTCAGCAAGGCAGGGCAGGGCAGGAATTCGAGCCCAGGTCTATGGACCTCCAACGTGCAGCTCCCTGCATTGTCCACGGCAGCCCCTGCCTGATGTGTCCCAAGCCCTGTCCCAAACCGAGGGGAAGGAAGGAAGGAAAACTGCATCGCAGAAAGTGGGGGATGTGGGGACGGTGGACAGGAAGCTCTGTCCTGGGAGCACAGGAGGGTTCAGTCTCTGTGGGCTGAGCCAGCAGTCAGGATAAGGGGAGGGAAGCAGAGGAGACCCTGGTGTCTGGTCCCTCCTGTGCCAGCCACCTGAGGGGTCCAAGGCTGGTCGTGCCCTTCCTGTGTAGCCACTGTGAACTTGGGCATGAGCTATGAACCTTACCCTCCCTGAGCTTCCATCTCCTCGTGTGTGCAGTGGACACACAACAGCAAGATCAGGGCACACAGGGCCCTCTGTGATCACAGGCAGAGCCCCTGGGCAGACTGAGGTCAGGGGAGGAGCTAGCTGGCAGCCAGGAGCCTGGCTTGAGGGAGGACAGTCACTAGGCTAAAATTTAAAAATAAAATTTAAAAAATGTTTAAACAATAAAATCAACAAGAAAGAAAAAAACTTAAATGAATTTAGTGTTTAGGCTTGGGTTCCATCTCCAAGATAGCTCATTACGTATATGCATGTATTCCAAAATCTGAAAAATCTGAAATCTGAAACACTTCTGTTCCAAGCATTTGGGATAAGGGATACTCAACCCTGTACCAGCCATCCCTCCATCACAGGGTGCTGTGCGGATCCTCTGCATTCCACAAGGAAAGCACCCAGCCCAGGGCCGGCACAGAGCAATTACTAAGCAGGACCTGCCATCACTGTTACCATCATCATCATCATTGTGTTCCCAGGGTTCCAGCCACAGCGCCATCAAAGTGTGTGCAGGCCGAAAGACCAAGAGGCAGGGAAGCTGAGCCTCTGACCAAGAGGGCAAGGACACTTTTAGGGTTA